AAAACTTTGCTCGAACTACTCGGATTGGCTAATTGGAAAGCATCCTTCGATTGACAGTCTTTGGCTGACAAATCCGTAGAATGCTGCTGTAAATCATCAAGGCCGATTTTCCTGTTGTATGCTAAGAAGGGGATCACCGCTTTGAGATGATCTGTCAAGGGACAAAGACACCTCCATTGGACACATGGATTTCGTATCACAAGTAAATGGGAACATAACTGCCATAAGATAGTGTAATTTTGGTGGGCCGTGCCGAATCGCGATATGAAAAATGGCATCACCACTACCCTAACCACTCATTAAAATCTATCTACTGTGGGTGAATCACCCATTTTTCACTCCATGGACATCTTCTATGAGACCGAAATGGAGTGTAGGACTGATCTCACGCAAGAAAGGAATAAATCTAAATATTGAAGACTCAATCCTCTGTGCTAGGTAAGCCTCTAGCAACAAAATAGTGGATATTTCACGAAGTTTGTCGCACAGCCTATTTAGGAGCAGAACTATATCGTTTTGCCTGTTCCTTCTAGAAACTAGCCCTTTTAGCTCCCCCATTTTATTCTTCTTAAACAAATTTGCTTGGCACGTCGTTGGAATGGTCACCATTGACGATTTCCCTATTGCTAGTTGAGTAGTGCCAGGTGGCAAGTTAAAGTCGCTAGTTAAGGCCTAGATCTACGTTGCTAACATGGGTGTGCTGGAAAGGTATGGTTGTTGGACTAGTTTCGTCATTATTGAAGACTCAATCTCGCTGTTTTAAAAAAAACCGCAAACAAGAACTTTGCATGAAATTCTTTTAATGTTACAATTGAGCATCACAAGCTCTCTCCAAAATATAAAAATAATATTGGTTTTAGCAAGACGAGCTTTTATTCTTGCAAATCTAAATTTGCGTTATTTTATTTCTCACGAAAATTGGTAGAAGCGATAAAACTAATCGCATTGCAAGCAGTTTATCATTCCACACCAAATAACCCAGGTACGTCTTTGGAGGCATATATGAAGAAATGAACCGCGGGTTTGGTGTGGTAAGTGGAGTTTGTTTTTCGTTTGTATTTATGCGCCTAGTGTTTCGATTAATGTTTGGAGATTTTAAATGCACAATTTTTCGAAAGTATATTATTGCGCGCAAGTCTAGGTAACTGTTGTTGTTCTTTGCTGGTCTCACGGTTTCTATAATGCGCGTGTTTGAATGCTTAAGTACTTTTGCGAAGTGAGTTTATCTAGCCAATGTGTTGTTTTTCTTTCATAGTAGTCTGGTCTCTTCTCATTCTAGTGTTTTCAGTCG